AAATTTTATACAATTTTTTATAATTTTGTTTAATTCCAATTTTCAGAACTATACTTTTGAAATCTTTAAAAGTCTTTATAAAACTTTGTTAAATAATCATATCAATTAAGTAATAAAAAAAATATTAAAATTTAATTAATATAAACAGTAAGTAATATATCTTATTTATATTTAAAACTTTTGATTAATATATAAATTTTTATATTAATAGATATGAAAAAATACAATAATAAATAAAAATTTATTACAATCTAAAGAGCAAGCAAAAACTTCACAAGTATACAAATTTTCAAACAAACTTTAGAATTTTAAATCAAAAAATTTAAGTAAATCAATTTGCAAATTCTTCAAAATAATTTAAAAATAATGAAAAATAGTTTTGAAAATCTTAAAAAAAGTTTAAAAATATATTTAGAATTATTAAATTTATCTATAGATAATTTTTCATTAACAATATTTGAATCTGTAATTTTAGAAAATGAAGCAATAATGTATACAAAAATAAGTATCACAATAAATTATAATTTAGTAATATAGCAATTATAATGAATTTCAAAGAATTATTTAACTATATAACAAATAAAGAAATATATTATACTATATATACTGTAGGTAATAATTAATAATTACTTATAAAATTATAAAATATGCTATATACTTATAAATATTTTTTATTAAGTTTTAATAATTTTGCAAATTAATGGAGTACTTTATAAAGATCCATTAAAATTAAAATTAATATAATGATATGATTTTAAATCTAAAAAAATATCATATAAATATAAATATATAATATAATAAATATAGAAACAATTTATAATATTGTTTATATAGTATCTTATTTTAATAAAAAAAATAAGTATTTAGTTAATAAATTTTTTAATTTTAATTTTTTTTTTTAGTGTTAAATACAATATATATACAGTTTATTAAATCAATGAAGATCATATTCTATGTATTATATAAATAGTTTATTAACCATTGCTAATATTAACTGATGCACCTGCCCTATTTTATTAAAATATCAATTTACATCTCAGGAGTGAGTCCATATCCTAATTTATATTATAACTTTCTATATATAAATATAAGGTAAAAAAAATCTTATCTAACAGTTGAAAATTTTTTTTAACAGTCTCCTTTTCGATTTATAACCTTACTTTTTTTCAATTGGATTATCAATCTGGATTGCACTAACATCAAATAGAGTAATAAGATCCACCTGTATTTTTGAAGTCTGTTAAGTCAATTTGAAGTATATAGCTAATTGAATATAACTTATTCAGAAAGCTAGTTAACTTAAATAGAAAGAATTATGCTATAGAGTCTGTTGTGCCAGTTAGGATTATAAGCTTTTACTAGAGTTAAACCAGAAGTCTTGCCTTATATAACTTTTTCTATTTCGATCTGTTTTCAGCCTGTGATTATCAGAAAAACCAAAGGTCCTATCTTTATATAACCTAATTAAATTTGGTTAGAATCTGAATATTTGGATACTTTATATATAAGAAAACTAGTAAACCTATATATAAATAAGATTTTTTGCATTTTGTTCTCTATAGATATTAAACTAGAGACATGTATTTAAAGATCTAAGAGTACTACTTATTATATTATAGATTTACAGGTTTAAATTTTTAATTTTTTTTTAAAGAATTTCATAGTACTATATAATATTATAAAATTTTAAAAAACTTTAAATATTATAAAATTTGAAATGTTATAAAAAAGATAATAATCTGACCTGTAGGTCTATAGTGTAGTGATTAACACTCCACAGGTCAAATCACTAGATACTGGTTTAATTCCAGGTAAAGGTAATTAAACAAGACTAATATAGTATCTAATATTATAACTTGTTATATGCTATTTCTTATGCGAAGCCATTTTATATACTGATCCAGTAGATATTAATATTGTGATTTTCAGTTAAGATGTTGTGATGCATCGATTGTCTAGTAGTATTACAATAATCAATATTACGTTTGGTGCATCTCTGGTTTTATATAAGTCATTTTTCTCCTATATAGTTTACAAGATTATAAAAGAAAACCTATTAACTTAATAAGGCAACTTTGAAGAGGATTACTCTATCGACATGTAGCCCTTGACCTGTATAAGTAGCAATATAGTAAGACAAAGTATATAAGAGTTGTGCTTTGTTTGATATTTATACCCCTAGGCTTGGCAGTTTATGTCAACTGATCTGTAATGAAATGTTGCCTAGGAGATTAAGAGTTATTTTTTAAAAAGTTACACCCTATTTGGCTATATGACTCTTAGATTTGGTAGTATTTAACTAGCCATCAAAACCGGAGTATTCACTAAGGAATACATTATGGTTCCGAAAATTGGAATTAAACAGAATCGCAGAAAATTGCATAAGGTTTGGAACATTATTAAAAATAATGGTGGAGTATATCCCACCTATTAAATTTAATATAAACTTGAGAATTAAATACAGAATCGAAAAGAATTGTTAGGATCCTTAAAATGCATACTTGTATTAATTGACATGAACTGCAATTGAGATAAGTTAGTAATAAAAATGAAATGTGATAAAAACTCTTGTAACAGTTAATGGAAATAAAAAGTCCTTTAAACAGTCCATGCCTGTGTTGCAAATCCACTCCCATAGTATAAGTTGATAATCAGATTAGAAATAGAGATGGTACTAGAGTTAGGATAATCAGAACAGTTAGTCAAACTCTTTATATAATGATTGTAACTTCAAATGTTAAGTTAATAAAAGTTTGTATGTAATATATTTTGCCTTTAAAAAAAAAAAAAAAAAGATAATAATCTTCAATGTATTTTAAATATTATATAGAATTCAAAAATAATAAGACTTTAAAAAATATTTAAAGTAATTTAAAAATTTATATAAAAATAAATTAATTTATATTTGAGTACTTAATAAAAATATAAAAAATAAAATTTTACTCTAATTTACTTAAATCAAAAAATCTTTGAAGTATTGTGAAAATTCATAAAATTTTTAATCTAAATAACTTAAAATAAAATTTATATATATATATTTTTTATATTAAATACTCAAAAAATAAATTAACTCAATTTTTGTAAAATATTGGAAGTTAATGTTTTATTTTATATTACTTTGAAGATCTTCAAATTCTTTTGTTATTAAATTTTTTGAAGTTTTTTGAAGATCTTTAAATATTACTTTAAAAATGAAGATCTCCAAAGTTTTTTTATAAAAATTTTTTTTGATAATATATAAATTTTATAACTATTTAATTGTAATATAAATTTTAATAAATTTATTTAATTAAAAAATTATAATAGCATCTGTTTATTTGTATAAAATTGGAACTATAGTAAAATTTTTATAAAAATCTGTATTTAAACAGATTTTGCAAATATATATTAAATTTTTATAAAAGTTTTATAAGTTGGGATAAAGCAAAACATATGTATTTGTACATTTTTTACATAGAATATGCAAATAGACAGGTTCCACTGTAATTAAGCAATTTAAAATTTAAAATTAATTTTTATTTTATTTTATAAATTAATGAATTAAAATTATTATAAATAATATATACAGTATTTATTTATTTATTATAAATTATATTTTTTAAAAATTTATTTTGACATAACAATAAATTTCAATAAATTTCAATAATGTATTAATAAAAATCTATTAAGTAAATTTATTTTTTATATTCTTATTAATATACTGTATATTTAATTTTTTGTTTTATTTTATTATTTATTTATTGAATTACAGATAAAATTAAAAGTTAAAAATTTGTTCAAATTATTATTAATTATTGTATATATTACATAATTTAATAATTCAATAAGTGAAATAAGTGAAATATATAAAAGTTTAATAAATGTTTACATTTAATGCCTGTTTGCAAAAAAAAATATGAAATAAGTAAATATATATTAATTAATAATTTATTTAAAATATTTTTTTTTACAAATTATAAAACATAATTATATATATTTTAATAAAAATAATTATTTATACTAAGTTTTTGGAAACGTATAATAAATAAAATTTTTTTGTTATGAAAAATAATCTTTTGAGTTTTTCGATCATTCCATTAATATATTTAATTAGTATTACACTTGAAAAAAAAAATTAATATAACATAATTGTCTCATTGAGAAATTGATGTAGTCATCCAATTACACACGACAATGCAAAAAATTCTTAACCTAAAAATTCATTATAGTATACACAGCATAATATTAATTGCTAGTTAAATTGTTATTGAAAACAAATAATAAGAAAATCTTGTTTGAGCAATTATATTTAATATAATTCCTTTTTTCCAATATTGTAATTTCGCATACGTATGTACAGATGATAATCATTTTGTTCAACTATATAACTATATAATAAATACTGTATCGTCAATCATAATGCATATTTTCAAAAAAAAATCACCTCTCGTCAACTTCGGACTCACACTACTGTCTTTTCGAAGTCGTCTTTAATTTACTGTGTTGGTGTTTTACCAGATAACTAGATCTTGTAGAAATATCCTTCTACAGGCCGTGAATAGAATTCTCACTTCTTGTTAGTATCTTATGATAAACGATTTTATTCCATTGTTCTGCGGAAGAGTTTTGAATCTAGCCGCGTCCAAGAAAGATTTGTTTGCTTTTCATAACTTGAAACCTGACATTAAAATAGTATATACGTTCTTCTGCCTATTCTTTTGATAACTATGCTTTTGAAAAGTCTTGTTTATGAAAATTTTTGAATTTGTTATGTTTGAGGCTTGTTATTTATTGTAGAAAAACACTTGTAAAATCTTATACAAATAAAGATTCCATATTAATACACAGTTTACATTTTCTTTTAAATTTAAAAAAGCATTCTTAAAACCAACTTATCACATTATCTGACACGGTATTACGACGCTTACACAATTATCCAGGTAAGAGGACATGTCTTGATGAAATAAGTCTTAAGGATTTATCGATAATTGACTTTAACAACGGAAATTTATTTAGTCCGAATGTCATCAACTACACATTCCGATTTTAGCCTGGACGCCCAACAAGCGATACACCAATTACGGAGTCATTGGGAATTTTCAAACGTGGCTCAATTCATGCACACGTTCTATAACGCCTTTGGATTGGAATCATTCGACACTGATGTAGGTTATCATTTACTAATATAATCCGTTGGGTCGATCTTCACGATTGTTCAATCTCAATTATTCGTTTCACCTATTCTAGGAATTTGAGCTCAGCCTAGTTGCCAAAGAAAGTCCGCAATTAACAAATTTAATTGTGCAAATGCTCAGAACATTAACATCTAATAAGAAGATAACGTAATTAATAGACCAATACAAATTTTGTTGGGTCAGTAATTCGCGTTTCCTTGTTACCTACATCTTTTTTTTAAATTAACAGGATAGATAATTGGGAGCGGCATCTCTACCAACTATATTCGATTTATGAGCCCGAGAAAAGCAATCCCTTTGAGTCCGAAGGAGATCAAAAAAATTTTAAGGATATGTCAATAATACAAAAGGTAACTTGGAGCATATCTTTTTCAATGTACTGTATATATTAAATCAGATTTCGTTATATTGATATTCCTTATTTTGTGAACATTTAAGATGCTGATTTTACATGACCTTTGTCACTGGCAAATGCGAAATCCTGACAAATTTAGACAACACTTGGATTCTCAAGATGATTCACAGACATGGGTTCGTATTCATCAAGAATGTTATCTGGAGTTATCATTCGACAGATTGAAACTAAATTAATTTTATTCTTCAAAAAGCGTGTCTCTCCGATAGGATATGATTCAAAGGGCAATACATATTGGCTTTTTGACGGTTAGCTTAAAAAAAAAATACATTTATTAAAAAAAAAAAAATGCATGTTTGTGTATATTTATTGGGTCTTTTTACAGATAATCGATTATGCAAAGAGGCACCGAAAGTAGATACTGAAAAACCCAAGGGTAGGGGTAAATCGGCTCGACGTAACAGATCCAAGAAAGCCTCTGCCACCACTGCTATCTCTACTACTACTGATCAAAATGAATCGACAAATTGGGAAACGGTATGCTGTCTATTTCCACATCAGTTATGTCTCATACTGACAAATTATCATTTATTATTAGGTTTGTGTTACGGCTGCAGAATGGGAAAGTTTTCCTGCTCAGTTTGAAAAAACAAGAAATTCAGCTGAAAAGGCGTTCTTCAAGTTATTAACTAATGATCTTCTGCCGAGAGTCTTGGCTGTTTTGAAGGTAAGTTATCAACCATTTTAAATGTTTTTATGGTTTATCGTAAAATTGATGTGTAATTTGATCGATGATTCAAAGGAAAAAGAGAAAGATCGCAAAAAACTCGATGCTTTGGCTAACAGGAAGCGAAGCTCCAGACTTCTTAAAAAAGAAATTGAAAGGCAAGAGGCTGATCGAATTGCACAGATCGAAAGAGAAAAATATGAAGAGGAGATGATGAAGGAAAAAAAGGAAAGTAGAATAGGTTAATATGTCAAAAAAATTATTGGAAATGTTTAGAAAATTAAATTCAATCGTCATTTATAATAGGAGGATACAAAATTTAGTTCACGCGAAAGCCGAGCAAGAGAACGAGAGATCCGATTACAAATGAGAAAAGAGAAAGTAGAAAAAGATCAGCGAGCTAAACTTGAAGAATCGCAAGCATCAAGAGCGATACAAGAAGATCATAAAAAAATTGAGGATCAAGATCAATTGGATTCTTCTATTCAAGTTCCATTACCACAACCTCAAGCTCACGAACAACCGAACAACGATTGGTACTTTGAATGTTTGTGTGGTGTATCCGGCAACAATATAGTATGAATTGCTTTAATTGATTTATCTACGGTTACCATTTAATTCTTTTTATTAACATCATCTTGCATAATGTAGAATGATAATAGTCGTATGATTGCGTGTGATCGATGCTCTGTTTGGCAACATTTGGATTGCATTTCAAAAATTGATCCAAGATTTCTCATGGGACATGATTATGAAAAAATTGACTATGTATGCGAAAAATGTTTACGAAATACGGCAGCCAAATCTAGCATGCCCGTCAGTAGTAGTCATGAAAAAGGCATTTCCAATTCTGATGCGCGTGAAACAAAAATGGCTGATAACTCAACCACGGACAAAGTACAAGGTACTTGGATTGTCTCCAAAATTGGTGCACAAATGGACACTGATAGGATTAGCAATAAACGACCAAGGAACGAGTCTGACAACGAACGTCTTGAAACCGGTATTCCTCCTGTTAAATCGAGAAAGAGACAAACCGGTACCACAAGAAAGACTACTAGAAAGGATAATGCGGAACGGGGAAAGAATAAACAAAATACCAACGATAATGTTGAAAGAGAAGTCAAAAGGATCAAAAATGGTAAATTAATTGTTCGCGTTTGTTAAAGATCATTCGAAAACTCTTTGTAAATGACTTTATTGATACTAAATATTCATTTAATTTAGATGTATTCACTAATAATCCGAGTATGCGCGTAAATCCTGGTTTACTGTCGATATCAAATTCTGCAAGGCCGCTACCAAGGTTGCTTCCTGCTCCTATTCCCAGCAATTCGATGTCGACGATCTCTCTGGATTCTCGTCAGCAATCATCGTCATCATCATTATCATCATCACCATTACCATCATCATCATCACCGGGTTATTTTGGTTCCAGTATGATTCCACCGAGAACATCATCCTATGGACCGCTATGCGGCACAGTTTCAACGTCGTCATCGAACGGGCTGTCCAATTATACCATAACTCATGCTGCATCACATCCATCTACTTTAAATTCTTCACTTGAGCTCCCCGCAATTTCTCCACCAGCTTATGGCTTATCAAATAACATTCTTCGCTCGACATCACTTGACGTTCTTCCACCCATCACATCAACATTCGGACCATCCGTTGATGTTTCTGCACAAAAGAGGTCATTTGAACCTTTCTCGGGTCCGATTGAACCTCAATATAGTGGTCCACATTTCTCACCATACAGCAGAGCTGATGGTCTAAGTCAAACAATTCCACCACCATCGTTACTCTCCCTTCCAAATCCAGCTCAATATAAGAACGAGTCAAATAATAACGAACCAACTCCCAAAATCATGGATATTAAATCATTGGTTTCCTAAGACCTATCAAGAGTTGACAAATGCCATTTATTTTATTTTTTTTTAAAAAAAAAAAAAAAATTGCAGTTAAAAAACAAATTAGAGATTTCATGTAACTGTTAGGTAATAGTGAAACTACGTCTTTTGATTTTACAGATGCTAGTAAGATTGTCTATGATTTTTTTAAAAAGCACTAATAAAATCAAATGATGATTTTAACATTCGTTCATTCATTTCAAACATTGCGTTTATATAATAAAATAGGAATACTGAAATAAAGCAATTCATATAATTTACAATAATTGAACAATTTCTACTTCTTGTTATTTAGCTTGTTATTAAGACATATTTGTTATTAATGTATTGAGAGATCATTATTTTTTTAAAAATCTCTTACTTTTCAATGATCGATCACGAACATTAAAACAGTTATAAAGCAAATGACTTTCACTTATCTATTTTAAATTATTGGAGCCGACCAAGATGCATCCTAAAGTGTCTTCGAAAAGTCGATCAATTCGACAGGAATACCTTTGTAACTAGCGTAGATAGTTTGAATTATTACGTAAATATTGCGTCATTAGAAATTAATCCATACTTTTTAAGGTTAGGCTCGAAACTAACAACGCTTGCACAAATAAATATACTTTATACGAGATAAGTGATAAAAAATTTTAGATCAAAAATATTTAAAGTTTAAATTATATATACAGTATATTACTATAAAATAATAAATTTTTTTGTAAGAGAAGTTGAAATCCTAAAAATCAATTTAAAATGAAAATTACTTAAAAATACAGTATATTATTGAAAAATTACAATTTGAATTTCTAATAATAATATTTTTATTAAAATTAACTATTGGTTATAAGAAACAATTCGAAAAATCAAAATATAAATTTTTAAAGTTAAAAATAATGTTATCAACTATAGTAGCAAACTCCTATATCCAAAATAGATATAATTTTTTCAAATGCATTATCAAACTAATAATTAATTACTTTAATTTTCTTTTAATTAATGCTAAATAGATAGGTAATCATAGCTGCTTAGAACCACTTAATAAGATATATTGTTTTTAAAATTTCTTTTAAATATTAGTTAAATGGTTACTGTAAACAAGCTAACATTTAACTTGTTATTTTGTTACATGTTAAAAATGTTATTTTTTTATAATATATATTTAATATTATATAAATTAAATAAAGAACTAATATTTATCACAAAAAAAAATATATATATAAAATAATTAATAAAAATATATTTATTTTAGTTCAGTTTGTAAATTATAATATCAATTTATATTTAATTTATATTTATTTATTTATTTATTTTATTAAATAATATAATACAATATAATTTGATAATTTGAATCTATTAATTTAACAAATACTAGATTTATTTTGAATTCAAAAATTATATAAATTTTAAATTTTAAAATATTAAATTTTATTTAATTAAATACAAATATAATTTTTATTTATAATATTATTGATAAATTTGTTTTTATTTAAATATAAAATTTTAAAAAAAAAACTCTTTCCCGTACACAACATTTTTCTTAAAAATTTCCTTTTATAGTAATTTTTCTCCAAAATTAAAG